TACTGTATACCCAAGAATGACACTGAAATACTGTATACCCAAGAATGACACTGAAATATGCATCCTCCCATCTCTACCTCCCAAGTACTGACATTAAGGGCATGTTTCACGACGCCTAATTTTACTGGACCAAACTTTTTAGGGCTTTTCTTCATAGTTAGCTAACATGTACAAGTCCTTCAGTTCTATGCCCAGCACTACCAATATAAATGGGTGTGGGAAGGAGACTTGTTTTCTAAAGAAGTGTCCAAGTCTTCTTTGACTGCAATCCTGAGTTTCTACAGCCCAACAGGCAGGAGCTGGCATGAACTCCCTAAACTATAGGGCACCATCTTCTGTAGCTTAGTCTTTACAATGTCTATACAAAAGTATATCCACACACCTGCACTTTGGTCTCAGACCACTGCTCTCTCTGCGATTCCAGGAATGTCTGCACCCCACTCAGTCTAGAGGTGTTCACACTACAATGATTTAATCCAAGATGATTCTTTTCTCGTTCAAATCAATGTGACCACAGGAATGTCCACAACCCAGGCTATCTGACCTCAGGAATGCATGTCTGGAGGGCCCACACAATGGGCATTCAATCACAGATGCTTCTACGACCACACCCATTGCAGCACCAACTCAGCAGTGCCCAGGAAAGAACCTGAGTGCCCCCACAAGTGCCCCTGTTCCAGGCTTTGACTCTTAGGAGGGGTATGGGTGGAGCAAGTGATCCAGGCAAAGGGGAAAACCTGTGCTTGCCCTATTCCATGAGCAGGAAGCAGAGATGAGGGATGGAGCTGGAACAATCAGCCTGAGGACCAGTAGTGGGACATGAGACCAGAGAGAGCCTATAGAAAAAGAAATGCCTGAATAGAAGCCAGTAGCACAGAAAACAGCTCAAGGGTCTGGAGAGATGGCTCAGCTTTAAGAGCATCTGTTGCTGGGCAGTGGTGGCACACGCCTTTAATCCCAGCACTTGGGAGGCAGAGACAGGTAGATTTCTGAGTTCAAGACCAGCCTGGTCTACAGAGTGAGTTCCAGGTCAGCCAGGGCTATACAGCGAAACCCTGTCTCGAAAAACAAACAAACAAAAAAAGAACATCTGTTGTTCTTGCAGAAGACCCGGGTTCAATTTCCAACACCCTCAAGGTAGCTGAAAACCATCCATAACTCCAGTTCCAGAAGGCATTGCATGTGGTAGATAAAATAGAAAGAAAACACACACATATATATAAAATAAATTTTTAAAGAATGGGCAGATGGGATTACATAAAATTAAAGAGCTTCTGTGCTCAACAGAGTGGACAGACATTCTTTGTAGAGTAGGAGACAGTTTTTGCCAGCTATACTTCAGATAGAGTTAATATCTGGGTAGTGGCAGCGCACACCTTTAGGCCTAGCACTTGGGAGGCTGCAGATCTCAGATCTCTGAACTGGAGACCAGCCTGGTCTACATAGCAAGTTTCAGGACAGCCAGGACTACACAGAGAAACCCTATCTCAAAAAAATCAATATTGGCCATTTGTATTTCCCTTTTTTGATTTCTTGAGACAGCGTCTCTGTGCAGACCTGGCTGTCCTTGAACTCACTTTATAGACCAGGCTGGCCTTGACCTCACATTCTCCTGTCTCTACCTCCTGAGTGCTGGGATTAATACGCATGTGCCACCATACCCAGCTGCCAGTGAATGCTTTTGAAGTATTCAACATCCTTAGTCATCAGAGAAATAAACAATTAAACACCTTTGAGGGCCGACAAGATGGCTCAGTAGGTAAAGGCACTGGCTGCCAATAGTTAACAACCTGAAGGGACTGCCCAGGGCCCACATAGTAGAGAGACCCACCTCCTGCAAGCTGTCTTCTGACTTACATGCTGTGGCATAAGCACACCCACACATAAACAAAAAATAAAGAAATGTAAACTTGGAAGGGCTAGAAATGTAGCTCGTTTGGGTAGTTTCCCGAGCATGCGCAAAGCCCTGGGTTCAACTGCAGCTCTGCAGAAAGCAGAATGGCAGCACATGGCTGTAATTCCAGCAATGGGTAGGTAGAGGCAGGAGGACAGGAAGTTCATCTTTGACTACAGCAGGAGTTAAAGGCCATCACAAGCTACATGGGACCTCTTGTTTCAAAAAAAGAATCAAAAATCAAAATAAACTACTTTGAGATTCCATCTGCCACCCAACCAAAATCTCACCATTAAGAAAACATGCTAATGAGGATTCTAGAAGCAGGAACCTGGGCTCCTGATAGTGCAGCCTCTATGGGAGTCGGTATAGCAACTTCTCAAGAACATAAGAACAGAACTACTGTATGATCTAGCTGTTCCTCTCCTGAGCATAACCCAGCGGACTTCCTACTACAGACGTACTTTTTTAAAGCCCTGTTGAGCACATTGCTACAGACTTTATTCAGATTTTTTGCTTGTTTTCCACAGATACCTCTTTAGAATAGTAATATTGCATTCAGTTGCTGATTTTTGTTTGTTTCTTTTTTCTTTTTTTTTTAAAGATTTATTGTGTATACAGCATTCTGTCTACATGTATGCCTGCAGGCCAGAAGAGGGAACCAGATCCCACTACAGTTAGAAGCCACCATGTGGTTGCTGGGAATTGAACTCAGGACCTCTGGAAGAGCAGTCAGTGCTCTTAACCACTGAGCCATCTCTCCAGCCCCTTGTTTTGTTTTTTGTTTTTGTTGTTCTTTTTCTTTCTTCTTTTTTTGAGACAGAGTTTCTCTGTGTAGCCCAGGCTGTCCTAGAACTCACTCTGTAGACCAGAATGGCCTTGAACTCACAGAGATCTACCTGTCTGTCTCCCAAGTGTTGGGATTAAAGATGTGTGCTACCACCGCCTGGCTATCCATATTCCAGCTGCAAGGAAATGCTGGAATAGTTACACAATAGATTTTAATTCAGCTGTAAAGAGAGATGGAATTTGCAAGAAATATGGTGGCACTGGAAACTATTAAAGCAAGTGAGTCTCAAACAAACCCACTTCTTTTGCACTCGTGTGGATCCTAGCTTGCATTGTTAAGTGTGTGCCTCTAAGCTAGAGTAAATGTGAGCAAAGGCCATGAAGTGGAAAGGTGTCCAGGAGAAGGGGAAAAGCTTTGAAAGGCAGGGAGTGGGGAAAGTAACAGAGCACAGGAGATGGGAAGACAGGACGAGAAGTACTTGGGGTAAAAGAGCACCGTGTGTGTGTGTGTGTGTGTGTGTGTGTGTGTGTGTGTGTGTGTGTTAGGGGAGGGAGGGGAACAGCAATATGCAGACAGGAATAGAAATTAACCAAAACTAAATGTGAATGATAATACCACAAGGAAGCCTGTTCCTTTGTAAGCTCACTTTAGAAGGTGGTGGGGTGGCCGGAGTCCCTTTTAGGCCACAGAAAGGACTCTGACTTTTTTTCTCTAACACATAGCCACTGGGGCAGGGATTTGTGCTCATGAATCATTTGGTTGTAACAGGATTCCTCTGGCTGTGTGGTGCTGGTTACCCATCTTTTTATTTTTATTTTTTTATTGTGAAAACTCAGAACTGGTCTGGTTGTGGTAGCACACACTGTAGTTCTAGCTAGTCGGGAGGCCAGAAAAAGAAAGATGGCATCAACGTTTGTTACACAGTGGATCCTGTCTGGAAAAAATATATCAGCAAGAAAACACACACATAGCTGGGCAGTGGTGGCGCACGCCTTTAATCCCAGCACTTGGGAGGCAGAGGCAGGCGGATTTCTGAGTTCGAGGCCAGCCTGGGCTACGGAGTGAGTTCCAGGACAGCCAGGGCTACGGAGTGAGTTCCAGGACAGCCAGGGCTACACAGAGAAACCCTGTCTCGAAAAAAAAAAAAAGATTCCTGAAACTAGAACATTTTTTTTAAAAGATTTATTTATTTTATTTATGAGTACACTGTAGCTGTCTTCAGACACACCAGAAGAGGGCATCAAATCTCATTACAGATGGTTGTGAGCCACCATGTGGTTGCTGGGATTTGAACTCAGGACCTCTGGAAGAGCAGTCAGTGCTCTTAACCACTGAGCCATCTCTCCAGCCCCCGAAACTAGAACATTTCTATTTACACAGAATAAAGAATTCTTGGACACTACAGAGGTGGTT